TCCCAACTCGAAGTCCACATCGCTATCCGCCCCATCATCCGTCGCTGCTAGCATCTTGAAAGTGGAGAGCACATATGTAACTTCCCCACAGTTTTCAACATATGGGTTCCTTTTTTAGCTACCGTTCACGTTATTTCCAATGCGCAGTCCATTGGCGCCTTCTACTGTGCGGACAGTCGACGCCATGAATGAAACAAACGACGCTTAGTAGGTTAAACCGGCAATTTCTAGCAAAATCATTTTCACTCCTTTTTTGGCATTCAGAAGGCCATTTAGCGGAAATGGACCATAGTTCTATAATCAGTGCTCATGCCCCTATACCATGCAAAAACCATTTTCAAAAAGCGTCCCACGCCTTGAAAGACCTTCCTTGTGAAGGCTTAAAGATTGCATCCACTGCATGCCACACTCAGAAACACGCGAGTTTAACAGCCGTCTGGAGGCTTAGCCATATGCAAGCGACATCCACGTTGAAAATTCGAATTAGTCGTGACCAATAGTGACGAAGGAAGGCAATTTTAGTCATTTTGGCTTAATCTAGGTAGCATTTTCCGATTTTCTCGTTTTCTATGCATTCCATGAATTATTCTATACTTATAGATTCACTTCTCATCTTGGGAAGGGTACGCTGAGTTATAGTAAACTGCTTAAACGCAATTTTTATCTCAACCGTTCAAATTACTCATTTACTGCTTCCAACCGTTCAAACACGGTCCCGTCCAGGTTCAAAGGGAGAGCTTCGTGTCACTAATGGAAAGCGTTATCTCCATGACAATGTAATTCAGTACTGCTTTTGACTCCCTGTCATGGACTGTGAATGAAAAAAAATAGACAACTTACTTGAAAAGGTTGATGCATTCCGTCAGTGTACAAGTGAGGCATTTGGGCGTACTGTCGATAGTGCTTACGAAGATCCAAGCCTTGAATAAATGATTTCTAAAAGTGTAATGAGCTTCTCCGGTCCAGCAAACCAGGCACAACGTTGCTTAACTTGCCAGCTAGGACAGAATGGCGTGCTTTCAATGTGGTGGGGGATCTATGGTCGGCTTATGACTCGATTACGTGGTTACCAAAGGTGGCGGTCAAGGGAATACAAAAGTATTCAACAAGTGAGCACATTGTTCATTCTGGGAAAGTCTTATTAGCTACCCGGCCTCTATCACCCTCATGTCAGATCATTGCAAGCTTCTCATAAGCACCCAAATGCCAAAAACGTTGTATGGCTGGGTTTCATTCTCCTGTACTCAGGGAGGCCTCCCGTACACCAGCTTTTGATAGGAGCGCTTGGGAGAGGCTCCGCAAATCTCATGTTCATGGTAGGCTCCCTAAAGGGACGAGCTCCACCCGGATTTTCATCAGAATTTTCATTGCACGGACGCTTGTATCGAAGGGCGTATTGATGACGATATGAGCTAGGAAGATAAAGTCTTCTTGCATCATCGGATTGATAGAGTCAACGAGATATTGCTCGTTGCACACTGTTTTTCAGACTGCAAAGAAGCTATTTCTTGGAGCATGTTACACTAGAGATGCCGGCGGTGTAGGTGTCCTCGACAACGCGCACTTGGTCATGTACATCGATGCGTACGACAGCTTGACAACCCATACTACGTTCGCTATCGAGAGGATATTGCTCAACTGCAGCTCTAACAATCTTCGCTGCATACGCACCATTCCCAAGCCAAGAAGAGGAGAAGTTGGAAGCCTTCAACATGAACCTAAAAAGACCGTGCATTCTTCAAGGTTATCGTCGGCGATTTCAATGCCAAGGTTGATCCCAGAAGAATAGCTGAAAAACTACAAAAATACCTCGACTTACTGAAAGAGAAGTAATAATTAGGGTGAAAGACTATTTCAGATTATCATTTCTGCCCATACCATCCATGGCAATGCGCAGTTTCTGAAGCACTCTCATTTGCGATGGATATGGGGGTCACCTGGTGGACAGTTCCATTACAGAATTAACCAGCTCGCGTTCATTCGAATGTTTTGCCTGACTGACGTCGCTGTTGCTCTGGAGTTCTACATGGGATCGAACCATTGTCTCTACGTATTCTTTGCTCTCATCTACAAAATAGAACTGTTCAGGAAGTGAAGATCTAAAACCATCATAGATCGAGACCACTTCACTTTCTTGCGGATTTGAGGAAATAACCCGCTAACGACGACATCGACGAGGAAGACAACCCGTTCGTAGAACCTTCTCACAACAGTGCACACAGAGCAGAGAGTCTATAAGTCGCCGAAAGTCGTCTTTCTCCGAAAATTCTTGATTTGATATGCCGTGGAATCGCGTGAGCTACAGATGATGGCCAGGGCCTGGATAGCCGAGTGGTTAGGAGTGTCGTTTATGTCTACTCCAGAAAAAACCACGAGTTCGATATCTGCTGAGGCAAAACTACGCCCTGCAAAAAGGTGCCCGTACCAGCGTCAAACCCAGGGTAATGGACCAGCTGATGGACAAAGCGATACCGTCCACAGACCCCAATCCGAGTTCTAGGGACTTTGTGCAAGGGCTACCGAGGAGTGAACAACCTTAACCAAAGATGTTAGTTCGATAGGGGATCTGAACGTTGAGCCGCCTTCAAATTGTAAGAAGTCTCCTGAAGTTGTTGACTTGATGAAGCGCAGGAATAATCAAGTCCTATACCTCCAGGAAAAACGGTGGAAAAGAGTAAAGGTCAAAGGAATAGTGGATAGATGTCAACTCTTCTTCACACGAGAAGACACCAAACATAATATCACGGCCGCTGCAGAAACGAAGTCCCTGAAAGACCCTGTCTCCACTGCCAATAAGATCATTGGTTTAGTTGTGGCTGTAAAAACAGAGACGAGTGGGGTACCGGACAGAACTATCCATGTACGCACCGCAAACCGGCTCCCTCGACTGATTGTAGGACAAAAACCGGTTCTCGAGCTTCGGCGAAGGTATCAGATCAGTTCCGAAAGGGGACTATGCCACCATGAACTGAATGAGCACGCCGCCAGTGAACGCCTGGGCCCAGAAAGGGTACATTTGTGTAGAGGAGCAAGAGTCGGAAACGAAAAAGGAGAGAAGGTTCCTGGCCACGACCAACGACCTAGCAACCTGTAGCACAATTTTCGCAAAAAAANAAAAAAAGAGACTTTGAAGGTAATTTATAGCAAAGGGCGAAGACAATCGGAATTCGACCTCACGCTTGTAAGAAGATGATCCCTTAAACCGTATAGAATATCAAGGCAGTGGCTGGCGAAGAATCAGCTCAGCAGGCTAGGCCTCTTCTAGCAAACAGAGCCATCGAGTTCTCCAAGAACTCAAGGATCCGGAATGAAAATTTGGTGGTGGAATTCTCAGAGACCGGTCCAGCGGACTTGAAGTGAAGCCGGTGAAGTTATTCTACTGTGGGCAAAGAAAACGCTGGAAGGGCACTCGAGCTAGACTCAGAGGTGATAAGGCAGCATGGTTCTGGAATGATGAAGTTTGGCGAGTTGTAAAACAGAAACAGGACGCATCCGAGCGCTGGCAAGAGGTAAGGGAAAACTTAATTACCTGCAGAATGTGCAAGATGATCGCCATAGCTGCCGTACCAAAGGTAGAGAATACGGAGCTGGACGTCCTGTACACGAAGCTAGACGATCGAGAAGGGGAGAACTCCGTCATAAAGGTTGATTATGATAGCGTCATGCGTAATTTGGAATGGTAAGAGTTGAGGGTGAAAGTCGACTTACATCATATTTCCTTTGCATAGGACATCACGTTCATAACGGCGAGCATCGAGCAGGCCAAATTTGGCAGCGCTTGTGACGAGGATCTGTCAAGGCTGAACTTAGCGAAGACGACTTTTATGAGAAAGAATACGTGTTCCCTTTACGCCAAATAGAACGCATGTTTTGAATGCTCTAGCTACATGTATCTTCGTAGAAAATTCAACATGATGAACGGCTCCACTCCGGAGCTGAGCAGATGAAGACGCGCAGCCTGAGGAGCATTCAAGATTATCGAAGGAACAGTGAAGAAGACAAAGAACACAACAGGTGTCTCTTCCTACTTTGATGTACGCCTCGAAAGCTTGGACCCTTCGGTAGCAGTACGAACATGCTGACTGCATCATTGAACGCGCTGTGGAATGGATGTTACTCGGGATTCCCCTATACACACATGTGTAAAAAGGAGCTCGGAGTTTCAAACTCTTTCAGCGGACGGTATCAAGAAATTGGCGTAAGCAACATCATCCTCCTGAAACCCGTCCGTTGAAGGGGGAAATGATATGGGTCCGACACGTAGCGATTTTTCGATTTCCTTAAGGCCGAGGCGCTCGCTGACTGCACCCCTTGAGACGTCAAATAAACACCAGGACGGTCAACAGGGTCAAAGGTCACGCTTTATCACGGATTCTTCGAAAAGAAATGGATTGTTACGGCTCGCATCTCTCGAGCGAGGAAGACCCTTTGTTCTACTGTGGCTCGCGACAGGGACGAATGATGACTTTGCTGGCGCTCGGTTGAGGAAATGAACGACCAACGGGAGGACAGGATATAAATGACAGATGATGTATGTTATAAACGTGTAGAGGGCGATAAAGTGATGTGAATATCTCACCTAAAAAATTAACCCCTTGCAGAGCATATCCAGCGCCCCAGGAGTCGCCAAGATCGAAGTCGGCTCCTACGCCAGCCATGTGTGTGAAAGGATTTAGTTGAGCATGGCCAGAGAAGTCCTTGTCCTGTCCTGGCAGAGAGACATCAGGGATCGACTGCGTCTGAAACACCACTTCTTTTTCATTGACAGAAACTAAAACCTTTGAAAAACCAAGTAAGAGAATTTCGGCAATGTGCTAATAATGAGTTCACGTACCCGATGGTAGATCTTATTTCCCGCAATGTACAAATTTGGTAGGTATGGTCCTGAACGATGGTCTGACACTCCGAATGGCAACCGAATCAAACCGATACCTCTCGGCCGTAGAGCGCAGCACACTAGAAGGAAAGGTAATGGTACCACTTCAGTGATAGGGATATACATAGTCGCCATGAACTGACCGTTGAAATAGCTGACTAGGAAACTAAGCACCACTGCAGAGCTGAATCTCATTTTGCTATTCTACTGACCTTAGGAACGACTCGATAGTTGTTCCAAAAAGTAGTGAGGCACCTAAAGAAAAAGTGAAGTCTTCGTTTTCATACCCAGCAGACACTGTTCATTTCGTTGCTGATCGTAGATATGTATGCTGTTACGGATATACTACTAGATGTGCTAAAATGTTACAACCGCGTGCACAAGAAGAGAAAAGCTTCTTGGAAAGGGTAATTAATTTCTCACGTTTCTCTTTGTGAAAATTCGACCATTGTCCTTGATCATTTTTAGACGGAGCGCGATTGATCTTTGCGTAATTCAAGCACTCAGTAGACCTTGCTCAGTTCTAGATTTTCTGACCCTCACGCTTTGGTAGCATCGAATTTTGAGGTTGTCTAGTAAGTATTCAGCACTTTGGGGACCTTGTCCAATGCAGGTGAGGTTTCATTTCACAGTTTCCATTCAACATGTTAAGGCTTTCCTCTCGCATGCCCATTCTATCACCTTTTTCGGGCTGTTTTGAGCGTTGGCGCCGCTCATTTCGATGCATGCCCGACCCTCAAGCAGAAGCTATTTCGTCTTGCTTCTGGCTCAAACCATGAGCACTACCCGAACATTTGCTGGTGTTTCTTGACTCAGAAACCAATTTTGAATCATAAAGACTGATAGAAAAACAGGCCTTTTACACCTATCAGCATCGACGAGGTGCAAGGTTACACACTTGACACGAAACGCTACTGTGGCTATTGCTTTTTGAGATTTCTCATGAGGCTTGACCAACTCTTATCAATTTACATTCCCTGCCATGAATGCTCCCACACCAGAGCATGTGCCCCTTCCAAGTTTGAACAATCTAGATTGAGAGAGACAGGAGTTATGAATTTGCGCTCATACACTTACACCGACGAACATTCATCGACAGACGCCGACACACTCACTAGCACATATTCACAAACATACATACATACCACACACAGACACACCGACATACATTCGCACACATACACAACATAAATATATACACACCGACACAAATATACACATATACATGACGGACACCAACATTACACATACACACACCGATGCATATTCACAACATACGCACATATACAACACTCCGACACACACGCACGCACACCGACAAACCAGCTAACACACTAAGAGGACTATATCATCTATCACCTGCTGTCCCGTTGTTCATCGATTCCCTCGAGCGGGCGCCAGTAACGTCTCCACTCCTCCCCTGTCACGAACCAGAGTGGCACCCCCGATGGACACGATGCATAGCATTCCTTCCGTCGGAGCTTTCGTGAAAAGGTCTTATCATCGCGCTAGTAGCTGTCCAGGTGTTCATTTGACGTTCCAAAGAGTACAGTCAGTGAGCGCTCTGACCTAACAAAAAATCGATGACGTTTGGGCCCGCCTGATCTCCTATTCTTTGGCGTAAGCAACAGATCTTTACAACTCCGGATCCCTTCTGCTTTTGTGTGTAAAGAAAATCCCAAGCATCGTCCTATTCACAGCGCGCTGATTACACTAACTCTATGTGAATCTTGTTTCGACGAGTCAAAGTCTACGAGGCATCGTCTAAGCAGGACGGACAGCAGCGACAAAGAGGTGATTGCGGAGCCGGATGTTCTTTGTTTTCTTCACTACTCCCTCGATATTCTTGAATGCTCCCCACCGGGCGCGTTTCCTTCTGCTCAGCTCCAGAGCTAAGCTGTTCAACGTGTTGACTTCTCGACCTAACTACACGTAGCTAGAACATTCGGAGATATTGGTTCCGTTCAGCGTAAAACGAAGGTCAGGTACTTGTTTTTCTCATAAAGATCGACTTCGTTGGAAGCAACCCTAAACCGTTCTCTCCCCTGGCGCTGTCGAATGTGGCCAGCATTCGTTCCGCACGTTCGTTGCTCGATATTATAAGCACGATGTCTCCGCAAAGCGAATATCCTGGTCGTCAAGTTGTCGTACAGCTCACGAAGCATCCTTAGATACCGTGTAGGAACAACATGATTGCCCGAGACTTCAATTACGCTTCTGACCTGACATACAAGGCGCTCTTCACATAGAGCGTCCTACATTCTCGCTATACTTCAGTTTCCTCGTCTTGTAGCGGTGGATATGAGTGTGGATGATGTGATTGATTGCCCTGAACACACTTCGAATACTGCTTGCTCACATAGCTGTCCATCATTCAATATTTTTCCAATCCTGTTCGGAACGGTGCATATGAAAAGCTCGAGGATCACAGACAGCAGGCAGATTGGGCGATAATTGCCAATCTCCCTCCTTAAACAACAACTCAGATTTGCTAGTTTTCCATGACAGTTTTCCATATATTCTCTTTGGTTGACTGGACCATGCACAAATCGTATGTCCCACTGACAACTGCGACATCCGTCGAGCATCGCGGGCTGACCTGCCGCATGCGACGGCTGCGGCGTGACCTAGTTTCGTCGGGCGCGCGCAACGAAGCGCGCCCGTTGAAGGTCTACGTGACCTAGTTTCTTCGGACGCGCGCAACGAAGCGCACCCGTAGAAGGTCTACGTGGGATGTCGACATAGGAGTTGTAGATGGCTTTCTTCATTGCCCTTCAGGTTGCATTAGCTACTTTGTCACGACGGCAAAGGAGAGTCATTTTGATTGTGTGATTGGCAATGCTCCTTCGGGCTTTGCGAATGCTCCTCGTTCATAACTGCTGCTCTTCTCTCTTTCAGATTTTTCTTGATTGCTTCACTTCTTGGCTTCGCGAGCTCGGACGATTGTTAATGATTTCCTGAGGCTTGTGCTGGCAGGATTCAGGCAAGGCAAGCATTCCACGCGGGAGTCACAGCTTGAGAGTCTTCGAAAAGAGACATCCTTTTGTTACATGCGGTCTCTCTGCTTTCCTAGTGCTATCGTGAAGATGTTCGACAGCCTATTTTATCCTTCATCGATGCTAACGATAATGGAATCTGCTGGTGAACTCGCAAAGGAAACGAAGTGATCCCAGATGATAAAGGATCGGGGTGCTCCATTTCCTGAACTTCCCAGCATTCTCTCCACCACTGAACGTAGAATCTAGCGTGAAGGAGACGATGGTCCGATTTCGTGTGGGATTCTGGAACAACAGCGACGTCAGTCAGACAGAATTTTCGGTTGAAGGTAATGTATAATAATTTATCGCATCATGAAACGGTCTACCACGTATAGCTCATGTCCCTTGCGAATGATAGGGTTCCTGGAACCACGAATAACTACGAGTACAGTGAGTCGACATGATAATCTCGGACAGTCTTCCACCCTATGATATACTTCCAGCTCTTCCTTTTCGTGGCTTAATACTAGTGCATGGGCGAATATAGCGAATACTGTTAGAACTAAAATTGAACCGTACTTCTCAATAGCTAACATCCAATTCTTCACGGCTAAGTACGTGTCAAGAGGACACCTACCCCACCAAAGCCTCTACTGTCGTTTGTTACGGGAACAGTTTTATTCAATCTCGAAGACGGCATGCAGCGTGCGATGCCTTCTCGATCAGCTCGATGGCGTCATACTTGATTTTGCTATCGCCTTCTCAGTTCCTCTCGTGTTGGGCACCTCCTTTGAACCTTTCATATCAGCAGCTTTTCTTAGACGACCCTAGGCAACGTTTCCGTATCAAGACACATCAGGTTCACGGGATGAGGCCCACTTGTATTTCTGTATTTATCATATGGGCCCTCGAGTAGTTCAGAGGGATGGGTTGACTCCGGATAGCTAGCCAGGCTATTCAGAATGGACGAGGGGGGTTGACTTTGGAGGCGGCACTGAATCACTGCCGAGATACTTTCTAGTCACTCGATGGTAGGCTTTTTGGCTGAGCAGATGTGCAGGATACCAACCGCGCCGCAGACTCTTCACACACTTATGCATAGATGCACCTGCGTGAACAGAACCCGGCACACCAGAAACAGTGAGCCCAGCCCTAAATCCAAATGCGTCCCTGGGCAAGTA